AATGACTTTATTCAATGATTTCTTCTCTTCCGTGTCAGTCTTTGATGCATGTTCACGAGAGTACCATGACTTTAACCCCAGCTTATCGTTGTTCTAAACCTTGCTTTTAACTAGAAGCACAGTATGTAAAAGTATGTTTTAGTATGAAAGAGTATGCTTCACACTAGTAATTTAGTAGCGGGGTTAGCACCTCTTTGTTAGAATACGATGCTAGGATGTTACAATTAGATTATTAGCAACAGACACCTAATTGCGTGCTTCATATTCACATGCTTTGGACAGTCACGGAAACAGTGGGGTATAAACAGTTGTTTTAGAGTTTGAGAGGAAAATATAAAATGGTGACTGAAAATGTGTGAATTTGAGAGAAAAAGTTTTATTTTCACCTTTATAGTTCACTGAAAAGTCAGTTCAGGAAAAAATCGATAGTACAGTCTGCAGTATATAACATGAGAATGCGCAGTGCTAGAGCCATATGTAAACGGGTCACATGCTGCATTTGTCCAATCAATGACACTGATGCTGCAAATAAGAACGTTAACCGGGGATTTAGAAATGTAAAGTGTGAAACGTCAGTTTACGAATACCCAGGATTAATTGTTAACCCCGGGGTAGATTGTAAGCAGTGTGAAACATGAAGATAAACCAGGATTCCCTTTACCCAGGGTGTAGAATGACCCAGGGTTAACTATTTCACATGTGAAAAGCCCTTACATGTTTGTCCATTGACATATTTTCTGTTTATTTGCATAGTTTTACATTAAATGTCATCATATTTTCAACCAAAAACATAAAGCATAAAAAAATTTGATATATATTTCATGTTTTCATTAAAGTTATGGAACAACCAGTGTCCCGGTGGGAAAAAGAGATCGCCCCTTTAGAGTCAGTGACTAGTTACACTCCTATTAGCAGCAATAACTGCAACAGTTCCTGCAGTTATTTTTAAGCGTTCACACTGCTGCAGAGGATTTTTGCGACCCACTCTTCCTTGCAGAACTGTTTCATCCTAGTGACATTTGAAAAATACTTTCTTCACACCTGAAGATCACATAAATTAACTGCAATGATTATATGTTGCAATTAAACTTTGTGATTGCGATTAAAAGTAACCTAGAAAGAGTTTGTATGGGCACACTGCACAGGGCGCTGAAAGGAATAGTTCAACCAAACATGAAAATTCTGTCATTAAATACTCACCCTCATGTCATTCCAAACCTGTAAGACCTTCATTCCTTCATTCAGCTTTCTGACCCTGCATAAACAGTGACGCAACTGACACGTTCAAGGCCCATAAAATTAGTAAAGACTTCGTTAAAATAGTCCAAGTGACATCAGCGGTTCAACCTTAATTTTATGAAGCTAGGAGAATACTTTTTGTGCACAAAGAAACCAAAAATAATGACTTTATTCAATGATTTCTTCTCTTCCGTGTCAGTCTTTGATGCATGTTCACGAGAGTACCATGACTTTAACCCCAGCTTATCGTTGTTCTAAACCTTGCTTTTAACTAGAAGCACAGTATGTAAAAGTATGTTTTAGTATGAAAGAGTATGCTTCACACTAGTAATTTAGTAGCGGGGTTAGCACCTCTTTGTTAGAATACGATGCTAGGATGTTACAATTAGATTATTAGCAACAGACACCTAATTGCGTGCTTCATATTCACATGCTTTGGACAGTCACGGAAACAGTGGGGTATAAACAGTTGTTTTAGAGTTTGAGAGGAAAATATAAAATGGTGACTGAAAATGTGTGAATTTGAGAGAAAAAGTTTTATTTTCACCTTTATAGTTCACTGAAAAGTCAGTTCAGGAAAAAATCGATAGTACAGTCTGCAGTATATAACATGAGAATGCGCAGTGCTAGAGCCATATGTAAACGGGTCACATGCTGCATTTGTCCAATCAATGACACTGATGCTGCAAATAAGAACGTTAACCGGGGATTTAGAAATGTAAAGTGTGAAACGTCAGTTTACGAATACCCAGGATTAATTGTTAACCCCGGGGTAGATTGTAAGCAGTGTGAAACATGAAGATAAACCAGGATTCCCTTTACCCAGGGTGTAGAATGACCCAGGGTTAACTATTTCACATGTGAAAAGCCCTTACATGTTTGTCCATTGACATATTTTCTGTTTATTTGCATAGTTTTACATTAAATGTCATCATATTTTCAACCAAAAACATAAAGCATAAAAAAATTTGATATATATTTCATGTTTTCATTAAAGTTATGGAACAACCAGTGTCCCGGTGGGAAAAAGAGATCGCCCCTTTAGAGTCAGTGACTAGTTACACTCCTATTAGCAGCAATAACTGCAACAGTTCCTGCAGTTATTTTTAAGCGTTCACACTGCTGCAGAGGATTTTTGCGACCCACTCTTCCTTGCAGAACTGTTTCATCCTAGTGACATTTGAAAAATACTTTCTTCACACCTGAAGATCACATAATTGAAACTTTGAACACCAAAGAAATAAAAAGGGCACAATTTCTGTCCATTTTACCACCAGAATCTCTCTGTGTTTACTTTATTTCGTACACAAACTTCCAAGAATTCAGAAGGGGACAATAACTTTTTATTATTATTATTATTATTAATTTTCTAACTATTTATTTATTTATTTATTTTAAAGCCGTCCGGCAGCATGTTATCCCTGACTGTATATTATTTCATATATATTTTGTATTGCTTATATATTATCATCACACTTTTCTAACCATAATATTTGTAAAGACAGACTACCGAGTCCGACAAATCGTTAAATGATAAATGTCTGCTTCAGGTGGCAAATGTACTTGTTTAACAACAAGACTGCTCTCTTTACGATGGCTAATCTTGGCAGCACTTTGCCTGTTGTTGCCAGCTGGACTTAGAGAGTGAGTACATTCATCATTTCCCATGACTCCAGCTGAGGCAGACGCTCATATGGAGTAGGGAAAATGTGACATTTACTAAAAGCATGTTTGTAATTACATTCGTTAACAACAGCTCGTAGCTTTTACTGAGACAGCTTTAACACATTATTCAAAGGCTATTTAATGTATATTTGCATTGATCTTGGTGTTTTGGAGTCTTGATACAGTATGTTACTGTCACTGTCTCTGCCGTGAGTTCCCCTTTAGTTTAGTAACAGGAACATGAAATGAGCAGTGCTAAAGATTATTTTTTCCAGGCCTTAAGAATCATTTACTGTAGAGGTATATAATCTAAGAGACCGTGTAAACCACAGGGCATCTGACCTGCTGAAATAACTGCTGTAGTCACTGATATGCTGTAGTCGTGAAACACAAACGGATATTTTATTTTATTTTATTTTATTTTATTTTATTATTCTATTTTATTTTATTATATTTTTTATTTTATTTTTTATATTTTATATTATTTTATTTTATTTTGTTTTATTTTATTTTAAAAAATTATATTTGCAAAAGTTAAGTCAGTTCCTTACCATCAGATTTTTTCTCATTTGTATGAGAAATGGGGGCTGTCACATATTTTTATTCTAGTTCATGTAACTCGCATAGCTGGGCATTTTGTAACATAATATGACTTTAGTGCTATTTATTGATAATGATTTGAAAAGGTAATTTTATTTCGAAAGATAAAATACAATCATGAATCACAGAACTATTCATGAAGCATACAAAATTGTACACTAATATACAAAAAACACGTTATATATACTAAATTAATTATAACCAAAGTTAAAATGCATTAAAATAGGTGTAGCAATGAATAGATAAGTATAATGTATTATAACTGTGGTTACAGTTATTCATGAGATCATACAATTAGCTCATGCATTACAAGGCATGATTAATGCATTAAAACTACTTTTATAATGCATTATAATGCATTATAAAAAGGTGTATATAAGTAGTGTTATCAACTATTGTTTTGGCAAACTAGAAACTGTATTTGAATGTATAACAGAACATATAAAACTCATGTGACAAGCCGGTCCTGACCTGACACACTTGTTTTTGACCCTGTCAATCTTTCAGCCAAAATCTACCATCATTATTTAGTCTACCCTCATTTGAATGTCAATGTGGTTGTACTGTGTTCATTTGTTGCCCAAATAGCCATTACAAAAATATTATGATATAGGGATTTTAGTTTGAATAGATTTTGAAGACAACCTTTTGAGATTTGAAACCAACATACAAAACCACACCTGTAGAGAAAACACAGAAACTCACGGTTTTATATGTTTGTTCTGTAATTCTCCTTTTGGCCAAATTCTTTTGATGTTCTGGTTGATATCATTTATGTGCACAGAGCACTTAGAGGAGACATAATTATTTTAGGCGGACCTACTTTTCCTCTGAATTTATAAAATATTGCTTATACATTTGAAGTGTTTGATTAAGACATAAAACAGATCAAATTTTTTTTACTCAGGGAGCCGCCTGCACACTCCCTCACTACTAGCACAAATTCATCTGGTTTCCTCAGAATTGCAGCCGCTTTTGGCTGCCAGTGGAAGTACAGTGCTTTTGTATTCATAGTTTGCAAACAGAGCAAAATGAATTCTTTCAATGTGAGTAATGTGCTATGTAAATTAGTGATGTTTCAGTGTTCACTAAAAGAACTTTACACTGTAGGTATTCTGTCATTGGGAAAAACTATTTATACTGTTATATACTGTAAGAGTATGTGTTTTTGGTGTGATGAATAGGACGTCATAATCCATTACGATTTAATTTCTTTGTTTTTAACTCAACCCATTTTTTTTCCCTTTGTGCTCTCCCCATAACAGTGCCAGCTTGTTTTAAGATGCCGTTATTCATATTCTCATGCAAATCAGTATGCAAGCCAGTTCAAAAAGTCTCGATTGTCTTGAGATATTAGCGATTTACTTTCTGTAAGGACCAAGAATGTGACTAGATAAAAGAATGAGCAGAGCTTCTGTTTTATGCATCTGTAATCTTTTAACCACGTTCTGGAACGGTGCCTCTGACTTTGTACTTTTGACTTTTTCTTTCCACAGGTGATCCAGAATCAGGTAAGAAACCTTTTCTTATTCCTCTCAATTTTCATAATACATTCTCAACCCTCATCCCCTGAGAGAGCACATGGTTGCTGAAAGCTTTTTGATATGCACATTCTCTCTTAGTCGCAAGGGCCTAGATGTGGCGTTCAGCGTGTATCCGTTCAAGATACGAGCAAGTTTCACAAGCAATTTTGATTTGAGCCAGTAAGAAACACGTGGCTCACCATTAACATTTGGACTCACTTTTGTATTTTCTTTTAAGCTGCAGCTGGCTTTTGTGGAAAACGGGGACCACTTGGTGGCTCACACGAATTGAATTGTAATTGCCTTTATCTGTCTATTACATAGGAACAGACAGCTAGAGTGGTCAGGGAGCTTTGAAGTGCTGTGAAAGCTTTTATAAATTTGAACACTTTTACACACGTTACCCTTTAGACAATAGCACAAAAAAAGACGTGTTTGAGGTGATTGACATCTTCACATCTGTGCCTATCCATGCTGAAATAACCACATTTACCATCCCAGCCAAATATTCCAGTGAATTTCATCACGCTGTATTTCGGGAGCTCAGATATATTCCTACACACGGCTTCCGTTTAATTAGAGAACTGTATCATACATCTGAACTCACCGTATCCTCCCCGCCAGGTGACTCAAGATGAAAGACGAGCTGCTTTATAAAATAATATTTTCAGTGATTTGACAGACATTTCCAAGGGATGCATTAGCCATTAGCCACAGCAAAGCGCACACACTCTACTCTAGGCTGTCGGCGCCAGCTATGTTATTAAACCCTGAAGTTCAGCACTCTGATCAGCTGCATTTGAATTTTCGAATATGTTGAGTATGTTCTAATACAAGTTCCTTAATGCTTTTATAAAATGGTACTTGGTAATTAATAATAATAATAATAATAATAATAATAAATGAATTTACAAGCGGTAAAGACTTTTACAATGTTACAAAAGATTTAAATTTCAAATGATTGCTGTTCTTTTATATTTTCTGTTCATCAAAGAATCCTGAAAAAAATTAGGCCTATATTTTCCACAAAAATATTGATCAGCACAACTGTTTTTAGCAGTTATACTTTGAAGATGATTTCAACATTAATATGTTGAATTAGTAATGACCGAAATGGGTAACACTTTACTTGAAGGGGTGTGCATAAGACTGACATGGCACCTTCATAATCATGACATGACACATGTCATGAATATGAAGGTTTTTTATGCATGTTTATGACAACTGTCATTAAGTGTCATTTGCTCAGTTATGTCATTTTTAATGCAAATATGACATTATTTGACCTAACCCTAACCTAACCCTACCCTTACCCCTAACCATAGCCCATAACAAAGACATCTCAAACAATGTCATTTTTTGCATTAAAAAGTACATAACTGAGCGAATGACACTTAATGACAGTTGTCATAAACATGCATAAAAAACCT